ACAAGTGCATCGCTACTAGTAACAAGTGCCTTACTAGTAGTAACAAGTGCCTTACTAGTAGTAACAAGCAGCTAGTAGGTTGGAGGCCATCGCTATTAGAAGCAAAGGGCATCGCTACGTTCGGGGCTCCTGGCCTTACTACGAACGGAGCATGAAGCTACGAACGGAACAAAAGGCATCGGTACGAACGGAGCGATTTGACGCTATTAGGAGGCCATCATCGCTAAACAAAAGAACAAAGAAAAGGATTGTATCTTTTCAAACTCACTAACACCTTGTTCGCCATCCTCTCGCACGGAGTCACCTACGATGTCTTTTTGTTCATCTCATTTGCCTGTCTCAGGATTTATGTTGGCTCCTTCGGCGAGAAGGACGACGTGTCGAATTCGGACGACGCCCCAAGTCGGACGGTTCGCTCTTTAGGTTGGAGGCCCTTGCTAGTAGGTTGGAGGCCACTAGCAAGAAGCTACTAGGTTGGAGGCCATTGCTCTTAAGATCTATTAGGTCGGCCATTGCTATTGGGCTCTTTAGACCTTAAGACGACCTCTTTCTTCGCTTCGCAGCCGGTAGCCGTGACCGAAACGCAGGATGGCGATGCCGGCAATCGGCCACGTGGATCTGATCCGGCCTGGGTCCGCCTCGAGGTCGGTTCCAGTTTGAGAATGCAAGTGTGAATGGGAGAAGAGAGCACAAAAGAGGCAAGCAAGAGCCCAGTTCTGATATGTTCTGATGTCCTCCCCTTCTAATGTCTTTTTTTGAGCATCTGTATAAACTGTTCATTCGAGCCACTGGTGATTTGGGTCGAAGGTGGCGAAGGAGCTTCTCAAAGGCGACCCATTGATGTTGGGCACCTTCGACCAGTGCTGGGGTGCTCTTGTCAGGACGAAAGCCGACAGACCGACCGTTGGCAACGCCTTCCTTGTTCCGTTCGGCCGCCGGATGAGCAAGTTGAGGCTTAAACCCTTTACAAGAGTATTACAGAAGAAGTTAAAGATGGAAGGCGCTTTAGAAGCGTTCTTGTCAGCAGGCCGAGAGTCAGGGCCTCTTGCAGTAGTGGTTGTAGTTTAACAGCAGTTGTAGTAGTCATAATTATAGTCGTAGTAGTCATAATTATAGTCATCATAGGGGCAGTAGTAATTAGTCGTAGTTAGTCGTAGTCTCAGTATATTAGTAGTGAGGAGGAGGAGGAGTACAGGAGGAATAGTATTACTTTATGATTATCATTTTTAGTACTATTACTATCTATTACTATTCGAGGTAGTAGCTGTTGTTGTTGTTGTTGTTGTTTGCATCGCCATGTCTTTGTTTCTAGCTCACCATCCCCCATATTCCTACTTGTTTGGCCAAGACGCTAGTAGTCGACGTACCAGCAGCAGCAGCCGTCGCAGTCTGTTAGGAGTTTGGAGTTAGGACAGTTAGGAGTGGTACAAAGTAAAAGGGTGGAGTAATGCAAAAGCACAAGGCGTCAGCAAGGCTTCAGCCTTCTTTGTGCTGCTATGGGGGGCGAGACTCAACACCGCAAGCCGCAGATTGGCTTAAGAGTAAAATGTGTCGTGCACTCCAGATATGCAAGGCATACACGTGCACACAACAGTCTTGTGAGGTAGTGCGTAGTGCAACCATGTGAGTAGACACTCCTGCTAATTATTTGCAAGACTTCTCACATTGTCCGTCCACATTTTCCTCAGACATGTTTCGTGGTAGAGTTGTGAGCAAACCCACCAGAGCCGTGAAATACCGTTGCCGAGGTTGCACTTGTCAAACTAAAGCATATCAGCCGACACTCCCGGCCTTCGGATTTCCACACCCAATCGGATTGAACACCCTCAAAGTGTGTACACTTGTCCGAAATTCTACACCTAAGTGTTTGGGCTATTGAGAGCTAAAATGGTAGAACCTCTCAAAGCCATAGAGTGCAGTGATCGATTTTGCAAGCTTGCGACCTCTAAGAAATACAGGCAGGGCCCTAGAACAAGCGCCCTAGAAGCCTTTAATCTCGTGTTTCTTCTTAAAAGAACTCCACGAACTTATGTTGCCTCCAGGACTGAGAGGCGCCCGCCACCACGAGCTCCACGCTTTGGGTCGCCGTGGCCCTGCGAAGAAGAGGTCGCCATGGCCGTCACCGTTTCTTTGGGGTTTGGATGTCACAGCATTGGGCCATCGCTATTAGGTTACCCTGAGTTACCACCTGGCTCTACCAAAAGATACATCCCTTGAATCACGAGTTAAACTTTCACCAGTTGGAAAGCGAAGCCTGAGCAGAGAGGCTAGTCTTACTCCATCTTACTTAGCAACTTAGTCTTGCTACCTCAAGGCCTACCCCTCGTTTGTAGTTAAAATCTAAGTTTAGATGTCAATCCAATACAAAAGCTACTAGGAACAAGTGCCACGCTAGTAGTAACAAGTGCCTCACTCCAATACAAAAGTTTCTACAACATGTTCGTTCTTTCAGAATCCAGACGCTGCGAGGTGAGTCCCCGACAATGGATGGAACGCGCCGGCTTTGCGGTCCGTGCCTGAGAAAACCAACCGGAGCGGCTATGGGCGCCCGGTTTTGCGTGAAAGTCCCATGGGTGGGTTCTTTCGTGGCACTTGTTACTACTAGCTTCTTGTTACTACTAGTAAGGCACTTGTTACTACTAGCGTGGCACTTGTTACTACACATCTTTTCTAGGCCTGGTGAAGATTTTGAGAAAGAAGAACGCTACGAACGGAACAAGGGCATCGCTACGAACGGAGCAAGAACGTTACTAGGGGCTCCTGGCATCGCTACTAGGAGCAAAAACGGTACTAGTTGTTTCGTGCCCATAGTTGTTTCTCTTTTCAGTTGTTTTTTTGAGTGTGGTCTGTCTTGGCGTGCTCAGTGGTGCCTGTCATGCAGCTGGTGAGTGCTGGAATGTAACCTAATTTCGAAAGGACAATGCACAACAGCACACTTTGCAGGAGTCATGGATTGTGTATGGATTCTGTGAGGCCATCACTATTAGGTTGGAGGCCATCGCTAGTAGGTTGGAGGAGTCTTCAGTCCGTTCGGGGCAGTTGTGTTGAGACTCCAAATCTGACCAATGTCAATCCTTTTTCTCAGATGATTCATTAGATTAGATTTAGAAAACAACCTTTAGACACATTTTGTGTGCTTTGTTTTTCTTCCTTTCTTTAGTCCTTTGCTTGATGTCCCCTACTTGTTTCTTTTTCCACTTTTCGTCAGACCTGTAGGCCTTTCCTTCAAGTTCAATCCATTTTGAGTTTTCCCAAGGGAATCCACTACTCCTTACTTCCACAGGTTTGGACCAAACGCATCAAACTCCTCTTCAATTCTTTCTATCCTCTTGATGTTCTTATTTTTTTTTCAATTACTTTGCTTAGTCTTACTTTTTTGTCATTTGTTTCTTTCTTTAACGCCTTTGCTACCGGTACCCGGTACCCGCCGGCCAGTCGGGGTTTTCGCTACTCCAGACGCTACGACGCTCAGGTTTTCCTGCGCGCAGTTGGTGCCGTGGAGCGTGGTGTGGCCGTGCCCGGAACGCCTGAGGACAGAGCCCTAGTAGCTTTTTGCTTCACTTCGAAGCCAAAACAGACAAACGAAACGAAGCCAACAAAACAAAAGCTTCTATTTTTCAACAGTTTCTATGTTTCATGAGGTCGCAATATGCCAACATGTTTTTTCCTCAACATCTAGAAATCATTCCTTACAGCGAGCTTCCTTGAAGCACCATACAGAAGTTGAAGTCGGTGCCTGTAAGTGGCCATACACCAAACTTACCGAAGGCCAAGACTTAAACCAAGTGTGCAAGATGCCAGCCTTCTATTTGTAGTTCGCTATTAGGTTGGAGGCCATTTCTACTACCTTCTATTTGTAGTTTGGAAGATTTCAACAAGCTTCCGCGAGCTGTGAGGAGCTTCGACGCATGTGCGGCGTTGTTGCCGTGCAGGACCAGCCCGGTTTTGAAAACATTCGTAGGACCCGCTACGGAATAAGACATTGGCAGTGCCAGACCTATGCAGACTCTATGGCCTTCTTGTGGACAGAGCGATGGCCTCCACCCTAGTAGCGATGGCCTCCAACCTAATAGCGATGGCCTCCAAATGGCCTGCTAGCTTTCTTACGGACGACTTGCAAGGATGATGGCTTTTGTGGGTTTTGGCCAGGGATCTCAGTTCCACTCAGAGTAACAACCAGCCGTGACGACTTCTGCTTAGTCTTGAGCTTTCCAGGTGCTTGGCTTATCTCCTTGGTATGGACTTACCACGTACCCTTGAAAAGGTGCGATACCTGATCAAGACCAATACATTTTCCTAGCCATACTATGAGCCTTTTGCACTTGCTGCCATGCACTTGTGATGGACGACATGCTCAGCCTTGCTGACATGACAGCCTATGACATGCAGCCAGAGGTCTCCCTTCGCCAGGTGACCATGGAGTTGGATTCTTGCCGACATTTGGCAAGTCATGCCCGAGCTCAGGGCCGACACCCATCAGCAGAGGACCATTTCGAGTATAACAGCTCTTGGGGGCTAAGTCTTGGCGTCACACTAATCGCTTCTGGTTTTTAGTAGTAATGCCAGGAGTGCCCCTAGTAGCATTCTTGGCTCCTAGTAGCGATGCCCTTGCTGCTAGGGTTTCAGAACCTCGAAAGCGCTTCAGTTGCACCACAAGCGCTGGTGAAAAAACTCACGCAGGCTGAACATAGGCCTCCTGTCAACTAGTGTTGACCATGTTGACCCGAACAAAACGACATAGCTCGAACTTTGCTCCAACCTAAGCTTGTGATGCTCCTGATGCCTTCAGCTTGACTTACATCAGCGGCATTCCCAACATTAAAATCAGCTGACCAAACCATCCAAGTACCAAGTATGTCTTTGTGTGCAAAGACTGCACCCGTTCTATATATTCTTTTGCATGTTTGCACAGCTTTTCTTTACACCTTCCGAATCTGTCAGAATCCTATTCACCTTTTCTGTTCTTTCTCTAGGACGAATGCTGTTTTTTGGAGCAAGAAGCTAGCAAAGCTTGATGACCTCTTTCCTGCCGCAGGATCGAGCGTGGGAGAGGTTGTGGAACATCGCAGATGCCAAACTACGCTGTTTGAGGCCGGTGAACGATTCGCCGAAGTGGCCAACGGTTCGTTTCGGAAAGACCTTGGCGACGTCTTGACCATCGTTTGGAGACGTCAACCTTTGTATTGTTCGAAGTCTCGTTTGCAGTCAGGTACCGGGGTTCTCACGTTGACCTGGTCTCATGCGAGTTGCAACGGAGGGGGCTGCAGGAGATACAGAGATACATCTCATTGTGATTCCAATTTTAGCCTCCAACCTAATAGCGATGGCCTCCAACCTCTTTGCTTTTAACGAGATTTCTGATTTTAGCCAGGACACCAACTGCTTCCTCACACACGCAGAACTCTCATTGTTGTGTGCCCGCATGTGCGGGAGCTGGACGCCTGTGGTGGAGGCTGCCTCTTGCTGGACGCCATTGAAGTAGCTGAATGAGACAAGTGTGGTCATAGCACAAAATTTCTTTTCTACATGTTTTGTGTTTCAGGTTACGCCGGACTTTCATGCGTCAGAAGAGACTGGAGCCAGGGCCCCTGTGGCAAGAGCAGTCACTCTTACTCTTACCAAAGCTGCGACTGCTGGTCTCAGCGGGTTTCTTCATGTTTCTTCTAGATCTGTCTAGAATCGACATCCTTGGGTGCCCAGGACCACACCATGCTTGCTCTTGCAGCTGAAGGAGTACCCACATTGGAGGCCATTCTCTGTGACATGGCTCAGGATTTCTTGTGCTGAGCAGAAGCTCCAACACCCAAGTCCTTCAAGAAAGAAGGATGTGTTCTTCTTGCTTCTTATCAAACGAAAAAAGACAAAAATAACATAGAGAGAGGTCTAAAAATTCGGACTTCCCCCCAAAAAAATGCAAAAAAGGACACATGTGTGTTAACTACTTGCGATGGCCTCCAATCCAAAAGCGATGATGGCCTCCAACCGAATAGCGATGGCCTCCAACCTAATAGCAATGGCCTTCAACCTAATAGCGATGGCCTCCAACCTAGTGGCAATGGCCTCCAAGCTAAAAGCGATGGCCTCCAACCTAAGAGCGATGGCCTCCAACCTAAGAGCGATGGCCTCCAACCATAAAGAAGGAAAGGCACCTGTGCGGTTTAAAACCTTCTTCTTTGTGACATTAAGACCTAATTTTTCTTTGCGGCCCGTTTGAAGCGTTATGCGTCAGGGCTCATATGAGAGCTTTTTATGTGCGGGTAGTGTGGGGCGTAGGCGATGCCTGACAACCAAGAACAGGAGGTGATGGACTTAGATCAAAAAGAGCACATGACAACAATTCTGCAGAAGGTCAAATATGTTGTACAATCTTACTTTGAAAGAACCCATCATTGTCTTTTTAAAGACATTTGCAAACAACGCCAGCCTCTAGAGGAATTTGACTCTGCAGCTCAGCGCCTTAGACTTTTGAGATTGAGGCTGAAGCCTTGCGAGAGGCTGGTTGGAGGCTATATGAGTTTGCTTCTCAGGAAGACCGTGGCAGTAGCCACTGGCTACCTCGTGTTTACTACCTCAGGCCTTAGGAGAGCTCTTTTGAGAGACATTGCACCCTCACTACGCTGGCATTAAGCAACCCTACCAGAACCAACAGAACTGCCTCTTTATACAAGAACCAAGGCTTCTAGGTTGGAGGCCATCGCTATTAGGTTGGAGGCCTTAGGTCTTAGGTAGTATCAAGCCTTTAAGGCCTTAGGTCTTCGAGTCACTCACTGCACCATATCGAGTCATTCAGGCAAGGCTTCCGGCTCATCACTGCGGCCCATGGCCTCAGAAACTGAATTCCCACGTAGCGTCCTTGCTCCGTTCGTAGCGATGCCCTTTGCTCCTAGTAGCTTTTTGTTCCTAGTAGTGAGGCCAGGAGCCCCTAGTAGCTTCTTGTCCTAGTAGCTTCTTGTTCCTAGTTCGAAAGATAGAAGTAAATGAAGACCTTGACCGCTTCGTCTCCGGAAAGAGCTGGACGTGTCAAAGAATGGACTCCAACCTAGAAGCGATGCACTTGTTACTAGTAGCTTCTAGTTACTACTAGTAAGGCACTTGTTACTACTGGCGTGGCACGTGTTACTACTAGCGTGGCACTTGTTTCTTGTTGCGAAATGTGGTTGGTGATGATTTGATGTGTGGTTTGTGATCTGGAGATGTGACGTGTTCTGTGGTGAGTTGCATGATTTCGGGTACAATGCGCAGCATGCAACAGCAGCACAAGCAAGAGCCAATCTTTTGCGGAAAACATGGCCGCGGTTATGATGGACCACTTTCTGCTTGCGAATGCACCCCGCACTTTCCAATGTGTGTGGCTTTCTTGAGGTAGATCATACCGCTAGATCCGGTGTCAAGAGAGAAAGAGCAGTTTAGACAATGGAACTGCTGCGAATTCAAAGGAACCTAGCGCCCACCCAAGGCAGCTCTGCCGATTTGAAACCTAGTGCCACCTCCCGGTCTGCAGTTGTGGATGGAACATGGTGGAACTGTGCCATGAAAGGCATTTTCAACCCGATACAGCCACGATATGGCCCTGAACCTGAACGGCCCGCGCCGCCCGCGAACGTGCACCTGAAACTGCGGGATGTCTTCTCATCGCGCACCTTCTGATTTCTTCTCATGGTGTGTTCTATCCCCCCAAAACCGTACGGTAGCATTTGCGCAGCATACATTATGAGCGTTTTATGGTTTCCCCCAACGCGGGCGTTGCTGAGCTTCCTGCATATCCAGAGCTGTGGTCTGAAGATGTCCTCCGAACGTCGCGTTCTTGCGACAAAAGCGATGCCCTTGGTGAACAAACAAGCGTCCGTCCTTCGCTCCTACCCCCCTCACCTGCGCGCGAAAAAGTCCTAGCCTAGTAGCTTCTAATTGTAATTATGAGTTTCTAACACAGTAGCATATAGCATCCTTGTTAGTACGGCCAGGAGCCCCGAACGTAGCGATGCCCTTTGTTACTACTGTCTTGTGAGCGAAGCGGATGTCCTTCGTCCGGTCTCAGGAGCCTGTGGCCGAGGGAAGGCCCAGCTGCACGGCGGCACCCAGCTTCGAAGATCTGCGGCGCATGCGGCCATTGATCATCCATCTCGGCGCCTCGGCTGAGCATTTTGGGCCGGTTACGTGGCCTCGTAGCTTTGTTTCTGTTATCATCATGTTAATTATGCCGTTTTACGGTACTTCAGAAGAGCTTATAAGACATGTCTTCTTTTCCTTTCTTTCTGTTCTTTTTTGTTTTAAGTCTGTGTTGTTCTTCATTCCTTCTCTTCTTTAGACCTTTGCACTCTTTTTGAATCCCGTTGCTCTATTCTTTCAACGGCATATTATGGACTGGACCGACTGGACCAAGAATTTTATCTTGCTCCAGTCTCCAGTTTACAAATGCTGTTCATGTTGATTTGCAACCCCCTCTGTGTGCGTCTGTGTGGCTTTGTGCTTAAGGTTTACCTTGCTGCATTAGTGATTTGATTCCTGCTGTGTTTCTTGCCTTCGCTCCATTCCGCACTGTATTGCAAGCTAGGGCAGCCCAGATGGTAAAAGGATGTAAAAGGTATGCCCGCTTGGAGCTACCTAGCTACTGTCGTGCACTACCGTAGCTTGAAGTTTGTCCCGCAGATGCAGCGGCCGAATAGCGTTGCCTTCCGCCGATGTGGCATCTTCCTCTCTGGAGAGGCCTTAAGACATGATACTAGTAGCTTCTTGCTACTAGTAGTAATGGCCTCCAACCTAGTAGCTTCTTGCTACGACATCCCAGTATCTCTGCAGAGGCAGTATCAAAATTCCATTTCCACTCTTCGCTTCACGATTCGAGATACTCTTCGGGTCACAAGCGGCCACTTCGTACTTGTATCAGCACCTCAAAGTACCGTCATTTCTTCAACTTCCAACCGGCAAAAAGAATAGATCGGGCCGAAAAGAAGGGATCCTTGGTGCCGGAACTCCCCCGAGATCGATCCCAACACGAGACCACAGTCAAAACGAGAGACCGGGAACGTGACCACGACGTCCACACAAGGAGGACGGCTCAGGAGACAAGGTCACGGTCTTGAGCCTACTGAGATCCCGAGATCTCTTGAGCGCAGAAACGGCCTCCAACGTAATAGCCATGGCCTCCTACGTAATAGCGATGATTCGTCCTGGATTTCATTTGAAGATCTCAACAACACCCGCCATGTTTCGTTGGCCGCTAAAGGGCGAAGGGTGGTGAAGCGGGATGAATAGCCCTTCGCAGGGTCGCGTCTTGCGTCGCTTTAAAGAGAATCGATGGTTAAATGGATGGACCAGATCAATGGTTTTCTTTGAAACGCCTCCAGGGACCGTCTTTTTTAGAGTGCCTTCTCATCGAGCGCTTGCTTTAAGGGCTTGTCTGCTGTGTGAAGAAATGTTACCACACAGAGTTTTTTGGGAGGAAGACTGATCAAAGGCCTTGGTTTGCAAACTTGTACATTCGAGAGCTTTCCCGCAGACATTGTGGAGGTGTTTTGTGTCTTGTCACCTAGGCACCCACTACTTCTTGCTGGAATCTGTGGAGGACGTGCCTGAATCCTTGAACATGGAAGAGGCTGGTCTTTGAGACAACCTGCTGCCCTGTGGTTTGACCATTCCTCGACTGTCAGGCTGCATATCCGACCAATCGAGGCAAGCCCGCGACCGACATCGTCAAAGACATGCAAAACGCTTCGATGTGAAGAAAGTTCTCAACATGGTTAGGTATTGTTTTTTGTTGCCTTTGATGCATAGAGAAAAGATGAAGGGGCAACAGTTGACGATTCCGTGAGGTTTGTGTTGCAAAAAAAGGTAAACGGTGTTCTTGGCACAATAAGCATTTAGAGTTGCGGTAGTGACAATGCAAGGCTATTGAAAGTGTTCCAAGTGTCTTCTCTTCAAACATAATTAGCATTTCTATGGTATTTTTTTGTCCTTGAGCTCTTTCTGTCTAATATATTCATTAAAAACAAATACCGAACCGTCGTGTCGTTTTCTTTCTGTAGAGCTAACGTGACATGTCGGCTTTTCTCGGGTCGGCCGTCAGGCTTCTGGGACCGCTGTGGCCGATGCTTCACTCGATGTTTTGATCGCTGGTGGAACGGCAATAACTTTGCCAACGAGGCGAAGCCTGAAAAAAACCAAGTATTGGCTTTGAATGATTTGTGTTTTTTCTTTTTTTGCAAGGCTTTGAGATGCTTTGAGTATTTCAATGAAACAAAACAATGTGTTCTTTCAGCGGCGATTTCTTTGCCTTAGGTTCTTGCATGCCGTGGTCGTGTCAGTTCTATCAAACATGGTTTTGGGATGCCCTCTAGTATAAGAATGAGTGGGCTTCTTGGAAGGCCAGTCAATGGGAACAATATTTCGGGGCCAATGAAGCCACTGAAACTCTGTGCATGCTCGAAGTCCATGTGCAAAGATGCAAGGCAAAAAAACAGATCTGCAGCATCCTGCAGCCTACTTTAGCTATTTTTGTACATCTACTAGTAGGTAGAAGTATTGGGTTGCACGAGGCCAAGAAGCATGTCGCAACAGCTTTTGCTTCCATCTGCCGGACCTCACGTGAGGTTTCCAGTTTCTGAAGGTTCTGTACGACTGGTAGTAACAAGTGCCTTACTAGTAGTAACAGGTGCCTTACTAGTAGTAACAAGAAGCTACTAGTAACAAGTGCCACGCTAGTAGTAACAAGTGCCTTACTAGTAGTAACAATAAGAATTTAATTCTCGTTTGTTTCGTCAGGCAAGGGCGCCTCTCCGCAGAGAAGAGGGCGACACGTGTCGGTGAAGCGACACCTGTCGCGTCGAGAGATCCCGAAATCTTCCTGGGCAATGGCCTGGGCCACTGCCTTTGGCGACTGCAGCCTGAAAAGCGACTGCCGCCTGCCTTCACACTTGGATGCTCACCTAGGGGACTCACCCTAGTAGGTGAGCAGGTAAACGCCTGCCATGAGGATTGGTCATAGAAGATCCGACAAACCTCGAAAGCAACATCTTTCTTTCTTTTGGTTCCAACATCTTCAATTTGCACCTTGGGATCTTGGCCATTCCGAAGCCAATCTTGGATCAACAGTGGCGTGTTTTCAACACAGGAATCGCGCCAAACAGTTTACGTTATGCATGGCTGCAGGATCAAAGAGCAGAAACGTGGTACAAGAGTGCTACTACCAACAAGGACGCTGCTACTTTCAGGATTTGGTTTTGGCTACAAACGCCTCTTACTATAAGATGTTGAGGAAGAGATAGGCCAGTCCCCCGTTGCCTGTATATCCTGTCGGGATATGTTTTGATCCCGATGGTCTTGATCCTGAAGCCTCTTCGCACAGTATAGTGTTTCACCTGAAGCATACCTGACGCGCATGCAAAGTCGTGTCAAAAGGTGCAAAGACTACTAGCTTTTTGTTCCTAGTGGTAATGCCAGGAGCTACTAGTAGCTTCTTCTTCCTAGTGGCGCTCCATTCTACAGAATCATTCCTCCATCACTTTTGCCATGAAATGTTGAGACTTCAAGAAAGTTAGAAGGAAGCATATTGCGGTACGACCTAGGCGATGTGCAGGACTCTTTGCGAGAATAGACATTAACCAACAAGAATGGCAGGCACTTTGAACTCTCCAAATAAAGCAAACAAAAGCCTAGTTTCAGGCAGGTGTGGTTCAGATGCATTCCAAACAGCAACGCTTTTTGAAGGAAAGGAAAGAACGACAGAGAAAAGATCATTCGAAAGGTTGAACGGAACGACACCCGCTAAAAAAGGCAGATGCTGTCAAAAGCCAGGTTTGATGTCTTGAAAAAACACGTAATGATCGGGTCAAGCAGCTTGAAAACGCTTAGTTCCCAACGGCCTGCAGCTTTGGTCACGGGGCAAGCCGGCAGCGCCGGACAGGGAGACAGGAGTAGAGTGGCAGGAGTGGGAGGACCAGGAGGAGGAGAGTAGCATGTTTCAGTTTTTGCTGGGAACGGCATTGGGCACGCAGCTTGGACTTAAACTATCCGCCTACATGCTAGCTAAGCAGCTAAGCCCTTAGATGTCTTAGAAGTGCCTTAGGCTCTGGAACGCTGTTCAGCTACCTCAACGGCGCAGCAGTTTATGGTTTCAGGAACTTACACGGATTGTTCTGAGGTATCTTGGCACGTACTACAACTTGCGACCATACCTTGATGTTTGGCACCCAGGGTCTAACTCGTCTCTCTCGTCTGAGATGGGTCGTTCTTCCCACCTTGGGATTGTTCCCAGGCTTTGTTCCTCTACTGCCAAAGGCGCATTGCAGAGGCCCGTTGTTTCTCTCAAAACACAAAGACACGAAGTTAGAGGGAAAACCAAATCAAACAGGTGTTAAAGAACAGATACCAAGACCCGGGCTCCTGGCATCGCTACGAACGGAGCATTCTTACTACTGGCAACAGATAGACCCCCAAACAAATATAAGATGCTAATCACCAAACCAGGTGCCCGCCTGTCAGCTTGAGGTTGAAGCAAGACCTCCGAAATAGATGCCTGGAGATCCTGCAGCAAATTGAGCAGATGGACAGACTTCGTTCTAGTTGTACATAGACCATCTCTATGTGACTCTTTAGACCAGAACAAGTGGTCGTGAGTTGGGGTCATCGCGGCAAAGATCTTGTTTCGTACATGATGATGACATGATGTGCAAGCCCGCTTTATCTCGCTACTGCTCCGATTTCTTTTGGCCTTTTGACAGACCAAGCAAGTGGCATGACCAGCTGTTCGGTCGGTCCATCCAGTTGCTGTTTGGTCAAGGGAGGCCATACGCGGCCGAGCACAAGGGCCCTCAAAGTAAAGACCAAACGCCCAAAGCCCAAAGAAAAGGAGGTGTATCAGGCCGAAAAAAGCCACAGAAAGAACGAAAGACATGAGAAGAAAGCCCTGAGAAAAGGGTACAGGGGAGAGAAAAGGCTGGACTCATGACTCGGGTTTCGGGAGAACGAACAGAGGTGCCCCAGCCACGTAGTTGCAAAAACCAGACGGAAGAGACTCGACTTCATGGATGGGACAACGCTGGTGGTGCTGATTTTCGTCCTCCTCTTTGTTGGAGGAATCGCTGGATACGTGTGCCCTGGGCTGCTCTAGACTCTGGCGTGCTGCCAAAGACAAAGCCAAATAACATATCAAAATGCCATAAAGTGCCTACCAAGGTATTATGTCAACATGAAGAAAGCAGAGGTGCACGCAAACCAGGTTGCTTTTTGTGAAGCTTTCTGTAAAGCATGTTGGCACTCACATGCTTTACTTGGCCGTGCAGGCTGGCATAGGTCAAAAGAACACCTCCGGGAAGAAAAAGCTCAGAAAGAAGGTGCAGACATTGACTCCAGTCTTGGCAGCGTTGTGTGAGTGAGAGGTTTGTATTGGATCAATTCTCATGCTTTAACTCAAGAACTTACTGGTGGCTTTCCTGTGCACGGCATTGAAGGATTCATAGGGAAAGGTAGTGAAAGTCATCTACGGACCCATCCGGCCCTCCAGTAGCAAAGACAATGGGCTTGTTGGAAGTAAGAGGTGAGGTGAAAAGAAACGAACAGAGTTCCACGAAGAAATACTGCAGAGGAAGAAAGAAGAGAGAGGAAGAAACGAAGAAAGGAAGGAGGGAAGGAAAAGGAAGAAATGACCAATGGAAAAAATGAAAAAGGTCTAAAGAAAGCAGAAAATGGTCCCAAGACGGAACAACAAAAACAATAAAAGGGCTTTTCTTCTTATTAAAAGGCGTTAGATTCAACTAATAGAGGTCTTCTATTGGAGACCTTAGGATATTAGGGTCAAGACCTGAGGCATCAGGTCCAATGCTTCGAGGTAGTTAGTTGAATGCAATGGAAATGCCATTATCTTCCCAGAGTTTGGGGTTTGGGAATTTGGCCAGGACAAAGTATCGTGGTCTATCGGTGGCTGATGCTGCGCTGCAGAGATGCGCGATAGCCCATAGCCTCGACCAATAATGCACCATTTGACGGAGCTTGACCTGTGAATTGGCGGGTCATATTGCTGTGGAAGGTGTGACAAATTGTGGCCCCTGTGGCCTAAAGACTCAGATGCATAGGAAAAACTCAAGCTGCTGCACTTTGTTTGGGTCGACCAGAACTCCCACAAAATCACCCTCAGCCTTTAGCTTTTCGATTGACGGAATCTTTCTTGCTTCGGCCCAAGCTGTGCACCATGCAACTTCAAGTGGCATGGTCCCATATGCAGAGGTGCTTAGAAGAATTGTATGACTGAAATAAACTATTGATTTTTCGGGCGTGCAAATGAATTTAATGAACAAATCCAAGGCACACTGTGCGAATGTAAAAATTACTTTGTTGGCAGGCGCTCCATGCGCGCAGTGCCGAACTCCGGCGCAAGGCGCAAGAGCAGCGTCAGACACAGGACAGGCCCGGAGGTAGGGCGGAGCAGAGGGGAGAGCAATATAAAGGGACCCTTAGAGAAAATGACTTTAAGGAACGTACTAGCGATGGCCTCCAACCTAGTAGCGATGGCCTCCAACCTAGTAGCGATGGCCTCCAACCTAGTAGCGTTGGCCTCCACCCTACTAGTGGAGCGAATCAGTTTTGCCTTGAGATTGTCATTCAAGATCCATTCATCGCAACAAGGCTGCCTCAGAATGGGGGGGGTGGAGTAACAGGGGACAATGAAAGCAACTGGCAAACGGCTGGTTTGCTATGTGAGTCGTGATGTGCTTGACTTTAGAGAAAACTATTATAGTCATAAGTGTCTTATTAAAGACCGGGTAGGCCCAGAGCTGAGTTGTTTAAGCATACAGGGATGCCTCGCGCATGCTTTTTGGAACCGAAACACTTTTCGATATTTTAAAGCGCCGCTGTATCCGCTTTGAACCGCCAAGCACCATTCGGGTACTGCGTCCCAGTCCCAGTATGTAGCTCTTCAAAAAAGACATCCGAAAAAAGCGCCTTTCGTGGCACTGCTCTTGCTTCCGCTCTTGGTTGTGGTAGTTCTCGATGTTATGGTGGCATGCAATTGTTTTTTCTGACTCGCGGGAAGTGTCTTAATTATGCATAATTATGTTTTTTCCTTTAGGCCCGTAGACCTTTCTTTCTTTTCCTTAGTGGGTTTGCTAATACGTGTCATGGTGATCTTGAGCGACCCGTCGCTGAATAAAGTAATGTTCAGCAACTACTGTGCGTTCGGCGCGTTCGGCAACTAGGTTTCAGCAACTATTTTGTTGGTTTCAGCAACTCCCTGTGTTCAGCAACTGCGAACAGCAACTGGTTTTGTCGGTTTCAGAAACTGGTTTTGTCGGTTTCACTAACTATCCTTGTCGGTTTTGCAATGGATATTGGGGGTGGGGGGAGGGTGACGCTGGGGATGACGTCCGTTGCGCATGCTACGCAGACATAGCTCTTGGTTTCCCAGTTGCCGAACACGCTGACCACTAGTCGCTTGATCGGTTCCGCATTCGTCCCGTTCAGCGTGTTCGCCCGCTCAAGCCTTGTTGCGGCCACCAGCCGGTCACCAGCCGGAGCCACCCTGGGATGATTGTGTTGGAGGCCATGGCTATTGGAGGGCCATCACCAGTAGGTTGGAGACATGGTGAAGAGTCATGTGTTGAAGTGCTATCAGATCATTCGTTGTTTGGTGAAACGATGTGAAGCGTCATGTTGTGATGTGCTGATGCGCTGATGTGCTGAGGTGTTGTGCTGTGAAGCCTTAGTGATTAAAACCGAAAGGGTCCAAGCTGCAAGCTGCAAAGCTTAAACGACCAAGTTTTCATGAACCAGGCTTGTGGAAGTCTAAAAGCACCTTTTTGGAAGACACCCAAATGTCAAAACACTTTTAGACGTGACTATATAGGCAAAATAGCTGTGCCGAGACACTCCTCTAAGACACTCTTGCAAGGCACTGTAAGAGACCGGAAGGCTCGCAAGCAAGATGCCTAAGGGACGGTACTAGTTTCCAAGATACATCACACCCGGTGTCGTCGTCATCATCATCATCATCATCATCATCATCTTTTCTTTCATACGCTCATCGGTCGATGAATGCGTGGACCCTTTTGGTCCCACCTGCGCCCCGAAGGGCCTTCCTCAACTAAAATTCTGGTCGAGGAGCCGGGCCAACGTCGAAGCCTTTGCTTCTGCCCTTTGATGGGATCTCAATGCCAGGTGCAGCATTGCGAACTGCCGCAGGCATGGACAGCAATGGTCTTCATTCATGCCAATGCTGTGAAACGGTTGGCAAGCGCACCATCTTGTGGGGTGAGCTTTGGAAAGGAAGTTCACTGCGCCTTGTTCTGCCAGAGAGCTGCTGTCTTCCCACAAGGAGCGATGGGCCACCTGCATGTGTGAGTTCAGGTCACGAGGCCAGCTTCCACACGTGATGCACTTCTTCACCAATCGGTGGCAAAGTCGAGGATGGTCCACCAGCAGATCCGTGTCCATCAAATCCAGTCCTGGCAGCCATTTGCTGTGCCATTCGTCATTGATGGCCGGGTCATGGATGATGTTCTGGATCTTTTCCTGGTCCGTCAGGATGGGCGATTCGTCCGAGATGGCAGAGACCTCCTCTGCACCTCCATGTGGTGTGCAGTTCAGCCAAAGTAGGCAGCAGTTCTCCTGAGCCACCAGTGAGAGCATAGAGAACTTCACCGGCATGTTGTCGTCGTCGTAGACCCACCATGAGTCACCGTCCTTGATGGCCGTGTTGTAGTGTCCCGAAGAGGCCTCGGACCCCAAGTGGAAAGAGACGCCAATGACGATGAACGGTATGTGGTCGACCTCCAACTTTGTGTTCAGGAAGTACGGCAGCCACACCTTAGAATCCCATGTCAGTCGAGTGTGACTCTTCCGTCCCTTGGAGTCAAAGCGGTCGATGTGCAGGCATGTGACGTCTGCTGGTTCGGTGAGGGCGTGTAACCCGAATGATGCAAGGCTCCAGTTGGAAACAAGGCCTTGAAGGTCAATTGGCAGGGTGCTTTTTTGCTCGCTGCAGATGTAGAGTCGTAGTGGGCACCCTTGGGCATTGTGGTCAACCACCTTCAATTGGCCTTCATCCTCCAGCCGGCTTTCCCAACAACAACTGAGAAAAAGAGGATTGGTTTGTTGAAGAAGATGATGAGCAAAGTCAACCACATCATGCTGCCGAAAAGGATTGGGCCAGTTGGCCAAGAGGGTGGTCCACTGCCCATCCGCCCATAAAAGCATGGACTGCCCTTTGGACACATCTGCCAAGTCCCCTAATGCCCCAGGGAAGTTGGACCATTGGTCCGCCTTCAAACCATTGGCCTTGAGTGCACTCCAGGCTAAACCAGTGGCCGCTGAGTTCATGTAGCAGGCGGCTGCAGGATTTTGAAGTGTCCTCAGTGGAGGTGATGTTGAGGCCATCACAGTTGTTCCAGCATTTTGCCAACTTGTTGTGCAAGCGGTGTTCGATGAGAGCTGGCTGGGCGCATCCGTCCAAGCACTAGTTGCCAGAGTCCTGAATGACTGAGTTGGTGCCAGAGTCCCCTCATCTCGTTGGCATGAGTGTGAACCAGGGCCAGTGTGATTCGCCAGGGAATGATGGCTGACGGTGACTCCGTGTCCGTGGTCATGGCCTTCTGGATCTGCTGTTGGGGACGTAGGGCTCCGAATCTTTTGATCAGGGCTTCTTGCTGAAGCAGAGTGAGCATCCTGGTCACTGTCTGTGTGGCTTGCTGCATGGTCAGGGGCGAGTCCTCCTGAGCCTCCATCTGCTGCTTCTGGGAATTCCACCTCATACGAGGAAATATGAATGAGTCTCCCTTCTCTGGCTCGGGTTGCAGAAAGTTCAGGCGCAGCAATGTCTGGATCAAGGGATCGGAGGAGGCCGTGGATTGAAGTTTCTGTATTCTCTTCAGCAGTTCTTCCAGCAGCGTCTTCAGGACTAAGATCCGGAGTGGACGCGTCCTTTCCGCAGTTGGAGTCTGCTGCCAGGTCTGCGTCTGGTTCATCATGCTGGGAAGAACTGAGCCTGGTCCCGCGCTCAAAAAAACGAAGAAGTCCGTCTCCATGGCCAGGCACTGAAGCGTGTCTTCGTGTCGAAGAACGAGGCGGGTCAGTGCATTCAGGAGTGTTCTTGAATCTGGTGTGGACTCTTCCTGCATGTTCTGGATCTTCCCCTGCCCTTTTCTTCCTTTTCCTTTTCCCTGGCCCTTCGCGCCATTCGACATGGAAGACCTCGGGCGCTTTGCTGTCTGCTTGTCCTCGTCCACCTCCATCTTCACCCACTGATTCAGGGCCCCCCACATCTCTGAGATCTGGTTGCCCTCCATGTCCATGGTGAAGAATGGCAAGGAGGCTGGCTAGCTGAAGGAGCACTGGGCACTGTACTGCGGTTTGGTGACAGTTGCAAACTGAACACTGTTGCTGCCTCTTTTGGTAGAAAGACAGAAACTTGTAAAACAGCCCCCCACGGTTTCCATGTTTTGCATGATTGTTCCAAAGATGTTGAAGCATGTCTCTGGGGTCAACCTGCCGTCCACATAAGCAGCACCAAGTGCTAAGGGCGGTGCAAAGTGTGCCATCTCCAAGAATTTCGTCAAAAACTCCCGTGGCAAGGAGGCTGTCCAAGTGGGGGAAGTTCATGGCAATGGAGGGGCTGAGAACTTGTAGGTCCAGTTTCAGTGCATGTGCCAATATGAGCTCATCGCTGGCATCCTTCAGTTTGTGCAGGTCATGGTGAACAAAGAGGGCCAGCTGTGTAAAGACCGTGCAAACATGAGGAGTCGCCGGAGGTCTAAGACAGGAGCAGCCAAGGTTCCGCAGAGCACTGTCAGTTTGAAGCCATTCAGCATACGTGGTTGCCATAGTCCAGGAAGTAGAGTGAGCCGAGCTGAGATGCTTCAGAAGAGAGGAGGAACTGGATGATTGATGGCCACAAAGGCCACAAATGTATCCCAACCTCCGAATCAGTGACTTGTAGGCAAGTAGATGATCAAATGTGCCCCCGTGAAGCCCCGAGATGACCACTGGGTGATGCCAGAGGAGAGAAGGAGCATGCGGAAGTGGTTCAGGACAGTGACCTCCATCAATGTGATGCCGTAGTGCTGCAAGACAGAGGAAGGAGGCCTCACAGTGTGCGCATTGTGTCAGCCCAGGAACTTGATCCCTGGATGCAAGGAAAGTCCTGGTCAGGGTAGAATGAGCATGCTCCATGGATTGATGTTGATGAAGTCCTGCGGCAGTCACAAATTTCCTGGGGCATTGAGCACAAGCAAATTGAGCATCCATCCTCTGCGGAGGTTGTGGGACCGGTGGTGGACATGCCGGAAATTGTTCACGGTGTTTCCGGTAGGCGAGGGCGAGTCCCAGTTGTTTCTTCACAGGACAGGTGTGCGTTTTCGATCGAAAGTCCTGTCCACAAAGTTCGCATGGTGAGTTGGTTCGGGCCCTGATCACATTGGGCAGAACCTCCCCCATCAGCGCATAGACATCTCCATGATCTTGACCCATGTGTGGCAGACATTTGCTGCAGTCTCGAAGACCAAAAGCCACAAAGAATGCACCGTTGGGTCAGGAAATAGCAAAGGCCTCGATCATTGGCCAGGGGGGCCAGGTCACCTTCGTCGTAGTACTCCAGGAGTTTATGCCTGTGTTGTTGAAGAACTGCTGGTGGTGCCTTGGTCGAGTCAAATTCCGAACAGGAGAAGGACTGAATATGGTGTCGGAGGTTTTGCCAGCTAATGAAGGTTTCGCCACAATGCCGACAGGTAGGTTTCCCATCAACCGCATCTCTAGCTATGTCCAGCGTGGGACCCTCGGCATGCAGAATGCCATGAACATGCAACTCATGTCGCCGCAGTGTATATAAATGTTGAAAGGTCAGCCCACATTGCTGACAGTCAAGTCCTGCCTCCGCCAAGGGGAGCTTGGGTTGCATATCCAGATCTCCAAGGTCCTGAAGCCAAGAGTCTGTAAGGTGGATGGAGCTTTGGAGTGTACTGAGGTCAAGAAGGTGGAGTATGTCATGCTCTTGAAGTGAGGAGAGTCTGTCCTCATGCCGCTTCAATTGAGAGGCCATCCGCTCCCGCAGGGAAAGCACCGGGTGGCGGAGTTGGTGCTCTGTCAAAAAGTCCATGTGAGAAGTGTGTGTCATGAAGGAGTGGTCGCCTGCGGCCTGTCTAAGCATGGACGTCATGTTCTTGGAGAACAGAGGAATTGAGGTGTGATCTGTTCCAGTTGCATCCAAGCCATACACTCCTATTGGAAAGATGCATGTTTGCCATAGAGCCACCTTCTGAGCCGAGTGCATGCCGTTGGTCGAGAACCACTTCTGCATTTGTCTGAAACGAACTTTGCATGCGTGAAGCCGAGCTTTCATGGTGTCCTTTTGAAAATTGTTGTATCCCATCTGAACTCCCAAGTATTCGTGCTTCTCTTTGATCGGTATTTCGTGTGAGCCCCCTGCTTCTTGTGGTATACAAAGGACTGTGTGGTCGAGCTTCTTTTTCACAAATTGCTGCCGGGCTTGTTTCTGTTGTTTGCCTCCCCATCTTAAGATGACAGCAGATTTCTTCATATTCACGGTCATGCCCAGCTTTTCAAGGACAGAAATAACGGTGCCAAAGTGTTGTAGGCCTTGATGAAGTTCTGCCATGGTCTGAAAAACAAAGCAGGCATGACCGTCATCTGCATAGAAGGTGCAGCATTCACGCATCGATTCTTCTGAGGATTCGTGTGCTATCAAGTTCAACACCAGTGCAATGAAGCTTGCCCAAAAAAAGGGGGCGCCCCGGCAGCCTTGCCTCACACCTCTGAAGGTGGATTGTTCGGCAGAAAGTCCTTTCCATTGAATCACATATGAGGTCTGGGTGTGCCATGTCATCAGGAGAGAGATGAGATCATGAGGTAGACCAATGAGTGAGAAAGCTGAGTAAAGGTGCTCACGAGGCATGGCATCAAAGGCTCCGGTGAGATCAAGAAGGAGCTGACATCCTCCAAACACTTGAGGACGTGTTGTCCTCTCATCTGCCCTCTGATTGGCGTCATATCGCCATCGATGATGAAGAGCTTGGACCTTCCGAACGTGTGCTTGAACCCGTGTGATTGCTTCCCATGTGCCTCGTCCCGGAAGGTATGCAAACTGTGGATACCAGGTCAGGGTTGGCAGTGAAAACTTCCTTGCCTCATGAACAAAAAGTGACATGATCGTCTTGGAGAGCGGAGTCTGAAGTGCAATCGGACGAAGCACTTTCGGTTCAACCGGTTGTTTGTTCGGTTTGGGCAGAAGAACAACCCAGCCTTTCCGCCATTCTTGTGGAATGAGCCCCCATAACATCCACTGTTTCACCCATCCAAAGACGAGTGACCCAATGGAGGTGGCCAGCGCCTTCCAAACGAAGCTAGGAGCCACATGAGGCGGAACACTGGTGCGTCCATAGAGCGCATGAAGTCCTTGGACCAGGTCCGGTGCCTCAAAGGGGAGAACAGCCAGATGAAAGTGTTGAGCTGGAAGATCAACTCCTGCATAGAGGTTTGCCATGTACTCTTGGATCCAACTCAGTTCCTCTTCCGGTGACATAAGCTGACCAGCATGCCGTCGGAGATGAGGTCGAGGTGGCCGTGTTTTTGGTGTGAGAGAGTTCACCACCTTGAAGTATTTGTGGGAGTCATTGTTACTCCAGTGTCGCCTGGCTTGTGCAATGGTCTGGGCCAGCTTGTCTTTCTTGGCTTCCCTGGCTTTTTGGTTCGTGGATTTTTTCCAGGATTGAATTCTAACCACTTTGACCCATTTGCCAAAGAGCTGTTGAAGACGACTTGAGTAGATAGTCCTCCTAGCCACTTCCGGAAGAGCAAGTCCTGGATGTCCATTGGCCCAGGTCCAGAAGGTTGGTGATGGTCGTTCTGGCTCCGACACAGGTGGTTTGAAGTTCTGACAACCGGCAAGGAGGATCTGGTTGAGAGCCTCCAGGTCTGGTGTATCGTCCCTGAGTCCAGTGATGGCCTCTTCCAAGGAGGTGCAGAACCCTTGCCACTCTTCACTGTTCGAGTCCCAGTGCCGAAGGAGAAGTTCTTGTTGTCCACGAGGAAGACCAACCGGCTTGTGACTCCAGACCCTCCATTTGTAGGGAACGGTGAAGAGAATGGGCACATGATCCTTGGTGTGCCCAAAGCGAGCAGGCAAGTCCTCCAGGTAGATGGGCTTCTTGGTAAATGAGTCGCTGGACTTGTGTCGTACCATAATGTAGTCGATCCGGGATTGCCGAGCCAGACCACCAATGTAGGTGGGCCCAAGAGAAGGATCCCAAGTGTTGATGGCAGTGAGCCCATGCTGTGTGAGGAGATGACCCAGCTTCCCGGAGTCAGGGTGACGTGGTCCAGCCTTTCTTCCCTTCTGGTCTTGAAAGTCCTGGAGTCCCACGCAATGTGGAATATGGGGAAGGCTGGTGTTGAGGTCTCCCCCCAAAATGATCACATTCCGTTGGGGAAGTCCAGCAACCAGTTGATCACAGGCATGAAGGAGTTCCCCTCGATGTTGAAGACATAGAGGATCATGCTGAATCCATGCGTGTTGATATATGTTGAGAAGGTCAATCCCCGAGGAGGGTAGATAAAGTCGAACGTGGAGAAGCCGTCCTGGAAGAGTCTCTCGCCAGGAGATGCGGTCAATGGGGCAGAAGTTTTTCCGGATGATCGCCGTCAAACCGCCGGTTTTCCCTTTGGAGCCGCTGTGAATATAGGCAAAGTGAGAGTCCTGCCAATCACCGCTGAATCCCCACCGAGTGTCCTGGAGAAATAGAACATCAAGGTGTTGGGAGCACATCCACTGCCTCAGAATGTCAAACTTGAAGGAGCTCAAGGAGCAGATGTTCCAGCTGAAGCCTGTGAGGCGGTTTTTCCTGACTTTTGCCGGAGGGGCCACATTGAGCTTCTGCCTGGTGTGATGACCTTGGTCGTCCAGGGGTGCGTGAAGTTGTTCAGTACCAAACATGGCTGCCGTGAAAAGCTGACCTTTATACCATGTGTGTCCATGAAGTTGAGCTCGTTTGAGTGCACGAATATAGGCCTTCTTTTTGGGTTGAGGTTTTTCCGATGCCAGGTGTATTGGTTTAGGTCCTGTGCCACTTGGCTTTGCCATAGAGAGGGTGAAGAAGTCCCGAGATTGGATGGCTTCACTGGGTCGTGTGGCTGACCCAGAACCCTCAGGCCACCAGGGTGGGGCATTGGGGCTTAAGGCACTCTCTTGGTTCACGATGAAGGCCATGATGAGGCCTGCAGCACAATGTACCAGGAGGCCAGGTCCCACCCTGGCCGGGGACTTGGGACCCCGGTGAGCTTTACTGCTCGGTGCAGCGGGTGGTCGTCTCCTCTGTGGCCTGGTCCGTTGCCAGGTGCAGGTAGAGCGGAGGTGGTAGTAGACCTTCTGCCAAAAGAGCCAGAAGAGGGAGACAGCCACCGTCACAAAGGACAGGGAGTAGAACCGGAACAGGTAGAGGCCGACCACCTTGAAGTAGGGATCAGAATCTCGGTGTTCCTGAGGATGTTGGGCAAAGTCCCGGTTGCCGAGGAGGTCAAGCAACAAGGTGATCACCTTTGGGTTGCCCATGGAGCGAGTCACGGTTCCGCACTGTCCCCGCGGCACCGAGGGCGATGGGGATTGAGCCGCTCATGGCCCTTATCATCATCATCATCATCATCACTCTCCGTCCTTGCTCCTGGCAGTAAGGCCAGGAGTCCCTAGTAGCGTCCTTGCTCCTAGTAGCGATGCCCTTTGCTCCTAGTAGCGTCCTTGCTCCTACCCCCCACAAAGCACCACATGAGTGTCAGCGCAGGACCGCGTGAGGGAAGAGATCTCCAGCAAAGAGAAGGAGGCGTGCGGCGCAGTGCGGTGCAGTGCGGTGCAGTGCGGCGCAGTGCGGCGTGCATTGCAACATGTCATGTAATCCTTTCCAATCCTTACATTTGGAGGGCCTAGACAGGTTCTTCCAGTTGGAGGTAGGAACTAAAGCAAATGAGTTTTATAGCTTTGAAAGCACATTGACAATCTGAACGAGCCTGAAAGGTCGCCAACTTGCGGCAAGAGGCTTTGCGCTTGCAACTTGAAGCTGAAGAACACCGACAGGCGAGTTGTGCAGGTATACAATTCGAAAAGGTCGGGACAATAAGCTACGAAAGTGCCGAAAAGACACGTAATCGCTATGCAAACCGGGCAAAAATACGCTGGCAACAGGAAACACCTCGGAAAAAAAAAAAAACGCAACCGTTTTGCGTGCTTGGCTCCGGGCGATTCTGTGTGAAGAGTTGGCTACCAGAACATTCCTGCAGGAACTGAAGGAACAGCGCTCTGCTTGGCCCTGAGACCCCATCAACTTTGACTTTCAAGGGTTTTTGGGGTTGAAGCAAGTTTAAACTCCGAATAAGCATGTTTAATCCAAGATTAAAGACACATATTATGCAGCAAGTGCACGTGTTTCGTAGGTTTTAATGCACGTGAGCCCAGAGTCACAGCGTGCATTTTCAGGGCAAGCGCAGCAACTCCGGTGCTTTGCAGAAAGAGGCCTGGGAATGAGGACGAAGACACAGTAGAAGGAAAAGAGGGGTTAACACGTTGAAAGGAAAAAGAGAAACAGATAGAGAGACGTGTGTTTTGGGTTCCAAGTTCTCAGGTTTCAAATTGTGAGCAAAGTCCTCGCCACCAAAAACCACTAGAAATAGCTAGCTAGCCTTCTGAACCAAATGTTCTTGTTTGAGACCTAAGACCTCACGGAAGCAAGGGCTTCACAAGGCTTAGCAGATGAGGGGTGCTAATGGGAGCATTTTGCAGAGCAAGCAACAACTTCCTGTTTACGACGTCCCAAAAATTGGAACTGCATCGCTACGAACGGAGCGATCGGACGCTACGTTCGGGGCTCCTGGCCTTACTACTAGGAGCAATGTTCGCTACTAGGAACAATTATGCATCTACTAGTTGGCTTTCTTCGCAAAAGGGACCACCCGGGGAGTCTCCCCAGGGAGTCGGAGTTCCGGGAGGCCAACGGCACCGTTCCGTCGCCTTTCAGATAGGTGGATCACCGAAGGCATCAAGTGGAAATCCTCAAAGCGGAGCTGGTGAAGATCTTAGATCTTGAACTCTTTATATTTCGGAACAACAGCAACTTCAACTTGGATGTTTTTTCAGTGAACATATGAGCTTCAGCATTGGAAAAAGCTTGTCGAAAGTCCAGGCAAAGCAAGAGAGGGAAACGAAGAAGCTTGTGGAGGATTCACTATCCGAAGCCCTCCAGGTTGGCAACAAAAGAAAACGAAGGAAGGACAGACAGGAATGGACAAGAGAAAGGTCCATAGGCGTTTCTTGTTTTGGTCCATAAGTTAAGCTTCGACATTCTTGGAGCCCACTCGCCCATTTGCACCCCACGTAGTGCGTCGTAGTGGCTTCCTAGATTAATAGCTCACTTTTTACTAATTGCATCCAGCAGCTAGCTATTGATAATTTTGTCCAGAAGTGAAAGCTCCTAGACGAGGGTAACGGTAAGGAAGACTCGAGGAAAACGTTGCAGCTTTCTTTTCTTTCAGGGTGACACCTTCAATCAGATCTTCTTCAACAATTGCATGTTCTTCACTTCTGTATCTCAGGTTGGAGGCCATCGCTATTAGGTTGGAGGCCATCGCTATCAGGTTGGAGGCCGCCGCTAGTAGGTTGGAGGCCGCCGCTAGTAGGTTGGAGGCCATCTCTTCAATTTTTCCCAATTTGGTTCAGCATTTGGGAGGTGGCCTCAGCTAGAGATCTGCGCAGTGAGCTGCAATGGCCACTGAGCAGCATCAGCAGTAGCGTTCGCCGTGGTTTTGCAGAAGGGATTGAATCAGGCAGGAAACAAGAAGCCAGGTGACCATGTCATGTGTGTCCTGGTTGGAGTAACTGAGCTAAGACACTTGAGTTGCGTTCTTGGTGGGTGTTCCTTTTACTGCCTGGATCGACGTCTACCAGGCCCTTTGTAGGTCTGGTTTTCCAATAAGAACGTGTGCTTGATGTTTGTGAGACCGATATAAGAATTTTGAGAGAGCTCCAAGAGTTAAAGCAGCCACGGTCAAGACGAAATGCTTGTGGCCCTAGAGCTCTTGTTTCGAGAACGACCGGATTTCAAGTATTGCACCTCAAGGTTGCCAATGTACTGCGCTTTCCACACTATTTGCACTTACCGGTTGCCATAGGCCCAAGATCTACACCTCGCCGCAACGTGCGTGTTATGCACGCCTCAGGGTTAGGTAAGTTAGGTGGCTTTATTTACATCTCCAGGTTCCCAGAAAAGGTAACATTCAAGGTTTTACATTCCACTGTTTTTGCATAAATCAAGACTCTCAAGAGAGCCGAAAAAAAAAACACAACTGCGCAATTCAAACATCTTTGCTGCGGACCCTGAGGAAAACTGAGCTCGAAGCAGAATTGGAACGCCTGAGGCGCTCGGTGATTGGACCTTGAAGAGCAGGTTGGAGGCCATCGCTTGTAGTAACAAGGGCATCGGCATCGCTACTAGTAACTAGTAGCAAGAACGCTACTAGTAGCTCCTGGCATTACTACTAGTAGCAAGAAGCTACTAGGTTGGATGCCATCGCTAGTACGTTGGAGGCCATTCCTATTAGATTCCTTTTGCTATTAGGTTGGAGGCCCCAATGTACAGCCATGCCTCAGGAACACAGAAGTGGAAAGTCGCAGGCTGGAGAAGGAGCATTTTGCTCTTGCAACACGCTTCCTGCTTCTGTTACTATTCTGATCAAGAGCATGGAAATCAGGGCAATCCTGAAATCAGTAAGCTGAGGGCCACAAATAAAAGAGTGTTTTAGTAGATACAAAAGAAGCAGACCTGCAAATATTGAGGCCATTAAGGTGACCGGAAGAGCAATTTCCTCTGTGCGACTCAGTTTTCGCTGTCAAAGGAGGTGAAGCAGTTGGAGAAAGACATCAGCAGCTCTCGGGGCCGCGCTGCGACGATACAGCTTTTGGTCGTGACACCCTGACATGCGTTGACAGCACGGTTTTCAACGCAATGAGATGAAAAACAGACTGGCTGTTTGCTCTTGCTGTCACTATTGTTGAGAGCTATGGCGTGATGCCACCGATATCAAGTAGCCTCAAGTCACCGATATCATCAACAGGACGGGCATTTAACAAACATGTTGGCCAGGCTAGATGACCTACGGCTGAAGAAGGAGGCCTGGAGACAAGGTAGAGCAGCTAGACTGAGAAGGTTCTCAAAGCATGAATCATGAATGAAGTAATTATGAAGATGTATCATGGATGGATGAAGCATTCAAAGGAAGATGCGCATTTTAGGTTGGAGGCCATCGCTATTAGTAACAAGGGCATCGCTACTAGTAGCAAGAAGCTAGTAGTAGCTCCTGGCATTACTACTAGTAACAAGAATGCTACTAGGTTGGAGGCCATCGCTATTAGTAACAAGGGCATCGCTACTAGTAGCAAGAAGCTACGTTCGGGGCTCCTGTTTAATTTAATTCTAATAGCGAACATTGTTACTACTAGTAAGGCACTTGTTACTACTAGCGATGCACCTGTTACTACCAGCTTCTTGTACGTTCTTATGCGCAGTTACTTCTTCACTTCTTCACTTCGTAGGTCGCACAAAGACAGGAAGCGTTTCGACTCCGGGAAAGGGAGCTGCAGGACTCTTGGACCAGGACACCAGTTACCGCGGGAGTTTGAGGCTTCAAAGAACTTAGATGCCAGGCTTTGTTAAGTTTGACTATCGTTATAGCTTAGGTATCGCAAGTGCAAGGAAAAAAGAACACAAGTCCAGAAATGAAAACAAAAGGAAACAAGACTAAAGAAGCAGCAGAACACACAGGCAAGTAAAACATTCTTTTTCAATTGGCAGTAATACATTGGTAATTTTAATGCAAGGAGGCTGGAGGAGAAAGACGAGCACCTGGCGTCTCTGGCCGTGGATAGTGCAGTGCAACGCCGGTGTTTGGAAGAAGAGATATCTGCTGCAGAGGCGCATTTTGAGTCGTTTTGAGTGAACGTGAGTCCTGTTTGAACGTGAGTCCTGTCTTTTCAACAGTGTGTGATGGCCTCTGGATTTAGGGAAAATCGTTTGACACAAACAGTAAAGTGGAGTTTGACATAAAGGTAACTCATGAAGTTCTCTTCAGGAAGAAGCTTTGCAAGCGGAGAAGGAACTCCATGAGCGTTTGGCCAGGCGGGCTGACGGCTGTTTTTTGCTTTCAGCAGATTGTGTATCAAGGGTCTCTCAAAGGGCGCTCTTGGACAAAACCATGAATTTTCATCGCTACTAGTAGCAAGGGCATCGCTACTAGAAGCTCCTGGCCTTTCTATTAGGAGCAAGAAGCTCTTAGCTTATTGTTTCTACTATGCTTCTTGTTACTACTAGCGATGCACTTGTTACTACTAGTAAGGCACTTGTTACTACTAGCGATGCACTTGT